CTCATATAAGTTGGCCAGAATTTAGTTATTGATACTGTACATTTAAATGCTCTTTTATAAATTCTCTTATCTTTCCTTTTTTAGTTAAGAACATTGACTTTCTGGCTTCTCGGCAGCTGGTCTCTTGGGCTCATTATTATCATCTTTCTTTAATGTCATTTGGCTACCCAGTTCATTTGAGTCCAAATCATTTATCAAGTATTCAAACCAGCAGTTTGCCTCTAGATTCATGTGTGGGAGTGCTAAATCGGTATTGCATTACTCTCGCCGACCTTCCTGTCAATAAATGGCAAGGCTGCATTGCACGACCTGTCCATTTACCACTTTCCGATCCAGCGTCTTTTGCTGTGATCGGTATCAATAAGTTCGGGCTTCAGTCGGACAGCCTACTACCTCAAAAATACTCTGAAAAGTTGCTCGATAACATGGGGTCTATTAAGGGTTCTATGTCGCATTTGGAAAGCAATAAAACTTGTAGCAATACCGTTGATTCTGGTACCCATCTCTCCTCCTCGGCCTCAACTTCATCAGGATCGTTGAAGATTCAATCCGAGCACTGGCCTTCCGACACAAGCCAGCTAACCTGGCGTCATTATTTCGTCATTCGTAATCCTTCTCTGTTGACCATCTTAGGCCTATCGGGCCGTACTCAACTTAATAATCTTAACGTCTCTCATATGGTCTCCTGCTGCCGCTTATCTCGGTCACAGAACGCTTGCGAGTCGACTGTTGGCACACCTAATCAACCGAAGGTCACTCAGGAAGTTGTGGATTCTGGGAATACTTACTCAACCGATGCACCTGGTACGATTGCATGCATTCCATTTGTCTGTCTTATTTTCATGTGCCCACTAGTAAATGGCGTGGTGCCTCTTGGCTACTTAAAATGTATCTTGTATAATTGCTTTTGACTTTACTCATCATTCCCAAGAAACCCACAAATTTGGGTTACTTTTACATTTCTTTTCAAACCGTATTTATAGGATTAAAGTAGGATTTATGAAGTTCATGTTAATAAGGAGGCTACATATTGCAGATGTTAATCATCGGGATCAGGAACGGAGGCAATTTAGAAAAATCTTAGCCAATGACAATTATCTATTAGGGTTACTTTGAATATTGTGTGGAGGGAGCATCTATTTGGGCTAAGATAGTCAGTTGGACTACTCCACTATGGTCCTGAAAGCTCTTGTAAAAGATAGGTGCATTATTGTGGAAGTGGAACATCAGAACAAGGTATAAGAAGAAAATGATATTGTTAGGGGGAACTTCATTTCGAATGAAAGTACATGATGAAGAGATTCGTTTGTCGTTCTCA